TTTTACGATCTGTAGCCTCCCTTGTTTTATTTAACTTTAAAGCCTTTGGGTTCCAATATGTATCAATTTAATGCTTCTCTTTGTGGTGATTATAGATGGTGGCCACCCTCCACTGGTTATGAGATTAGGCCAGAGAGACAGCTTTGAACTGAATGGATCTTCTGATGAAGTTGAGCACACTGAGAAGAACATTGCATCCATTGAAGAGCTGAGACATAATGGTGAACCGGTTTCCAGCTTCCATGAGGAAAACAGAATAAGATTCTTGGAACAAGCCTTAGAGCACGAACGAGAAGCTCGAGATGCTCTTTGCATTGAGCTGGAGAAGGAAAGAAATGCTGCTGCGAGTGCTGCAGATGAGGCTATGGCCATGATCTTACGTCTACAAGAGGAGAAGGCATCTATTGAAATGGATGCCCGGCAATATCAGAGATTAATTGAAGAGAAATCTGCTTTTGAAGCAGAGGAAATGAACATTCTAATGGAGATCGTGATGAGGACAGAGAGGGAGAAACACTTTTTAGAGAAGGAACTTGAAGTATATAGGCAGATGACTTATCTCGGAAATGAAGAATCAACAGTTGATAGTGGGAATGTAGTGGATGCACTAAGACGTCCTGTTGCTTCATCTGATCTTAATGAGGATCCACTTCTTATGCTTCATCAGATTAGTGCATTTTTCAACAAGAGGACTGTTGTAGAAAATAGGAACTCCGAGGAGGTCATTTCTCTTGATAAACAAAACTATATTGCTTTAGGGGGAGAGGCACTGATTCAAAGACAGAATAAAGATGTCAACTCCCAGAAGCAAGTTGACTTAGCAGAGCATTCTTGCAGTCAAGAATTTCAGGAGAAAGAGATGGTTTTTATGGTTAACCACTCCGATGTGGGACCAGGGAATGGGAAAATACTGGACACATCCTTGAAACCCTGTGAGACAGGTCTTTCGGAACAGAAGCTTCCTGATCAGGCCATTTCCCTAGAAGGGGAAGTGCTAAAAGAAAATCCAGATATGGAAACAAGTGACAGAGCTTGTATTGATGTTTCTAGAAAAGACAAGTGTTTGAAGTATCATGAGACAGTTGGATATCAGGGATCAAAATGTCCATGTAATATGACCTCAGATAAAGAACCTCGTGTTCACGATGTTCATGTCATTGTCGATGGGTCCAACTTTTGCAATGATGTCAGTAGTGGTGAATCTAGGAAAAGTGCATTAGAATTTTCTGGAAAAACTAGTCTCCCTATTGAAGCTTCTCCTACACAGGATGTTATTAGAGATCGTCCAAGTACTAGCACGTTGTATACTCAAGTGGATCTTAAAATCAGTGCAGACACTACTGGTGGGCTTCCACCAGTGGGCTCATGTGGTAAACCTTTGCTATGTGATTCGCGGGGAAATTCCATATCCTCAGTAGATAATGAAAGGCTGAAAATTGAAATGGAAGTGGAGCGGCTTCGAGGGAGGTTAAAGATTGTGCAAGAGGGAAGAGAGAAACTTGACTTGACTGCAGAGCATAGAGAAAGAGGAAAGATGCAGCTAAAGCTTTTGGAGGATATAGCACACCAACTTCAAGAGATTCGGCAGCTTGCTGAACCTGAGAAGGCTGTACGACAGGCTTCCTTGCCCCTGCCATTCTCTAAGGTATGAGACTAGCAGGTTCATATCCATTGTCTTGTATGGTTAATATGTTCATACATACATCTCTTAATTATATGCATTTTTCTTCAACTTTGAGGTTACTCTTATTGTGCCAAGAGCATGATGAGCATAGAAATGTTCAAATCACTTTTAAGGTTGATCTTCATATTAACATTGTCTCCGGAATGTGATGTATACATGAATGTCAACAAGTCATCATGTGATCATTTCTGTGAAAAGATGAACTTTTTAAAGCTGCTCCAGAATTGAGTCTCGTAATGCCACTGGCATGTGTTTCGTGTAGCTTGGAGAAACAGATAGCAATTTGAGAATGATTTCATAGACTCTATGAGCTGAATGTTATGTTGTAGCCGTTGTAGTTCTCCTCTTTTTTTCCTAGACTGGACTTCAGCATCATTGGACACTGGAGTGCATTTGGAATCTGGTTATCATTCATTAAGAAAAAAGTAGTAGGAAATATTTGGGTGACTAGAATGATTATTACTATGAGTCACGTCTTTTGGGCCCTGTCCGATCTATAAATTCTTCATCATTGACTCATTTTATTTTGGAGTACCAAATCTAAGATTTGTGCTCTCAAGCTCTGTTGCGTTCAACAAAACCACTTGATTTTGTTTGTTTGTCATTTGAGATCAATTGTATTTGTTAAATGAAGTACCAAGAAAAATTGATTTTTTTCCGTCATAGGTGACACTCGTATAAGTTGCAGTTAATGGGTGTGACTGGCAAGGGTAACTGTTTAAAACGAATAATCTGGAGTAGACTGCGTAATGATAGATCGTGAATGAGTTTGTGGAGGTACACTGAAGAGAGAAATTCCCTCTGGAAAGAGGTGATCATAGCAAAATATGGTGAGTTAAACCCTTGGTGTACAGAGATCACAACAGAACCTTATGGTGTGGGTGCATGGAGATCAATTAGAAACTTGTGGTCACAAATGGAGACAAATTTATATATCAAGGTGGGAAGTGGCACTAAAACAAAATTTTGGAAGGATGTTTGGATAGACCAATCCCCTCTTAGAGATCTCTTTCCAGATCTCTTTCAAATTTGTGGAAATCCTGATGCCAATGTTGGTGATTGCTGGACTGAACAGGGCTGGGATCTAGTTTTTAGAAGACTTCTCAATGATTGGGAGGTGGAAAGGGTGGCTGAGATATTAGGGATGCTAGGCGGAGTGACCATCAACGCAAATGCCACAGACAGGATGTTGTGGAAGCACAACAAAGATGGCCTTTTCTCAGTCAACAGTGCTTACAGAAGAGGTCTCCAGGTGATGGCAGGGAGACCAACACACTTCTGGAACTATTTTTGGAAGGGGGATATTCCTACAAAAGTGAAATGCTTCACTTGGCTAGTGATAAAGAGAGCTTGTTTAACACAAGAAGTACTTCAGAAGAAGGGTAGACAGCTGGTCCCTAGGTGTTTTTTATGCAATTTGACAAGTGAAACTAACAGCCACCTCTTCTTGCACTGTAATTACACTGCTCAAATCTGGAATTTGTTCCTTAGCATCTCAAATCTGAATTGGACAATGCCAGAACGTACATCAAACGTGTTGAAGAGCTGGGTAAGGAGAGGAGGCACCAAGAGCCAGAAGAGATGGTGGAGGTTAATACCATCATGTATATGGTGGTCAGTTTGGAAGGAAAGGAACAGTAGATGTTTCGACAATAGATCCAATTCCATACACAAGGTCAAATGGAATTGTATAGTATCTCTACTTTTTTGGTGTAAACAGTTGTGTATAGTAGATACAGACCAGATTGTAGATTTGATAGGAAGTTTGTAATTGACACTTTTTGGTGGTGGCCAGCATGCCCTTAATGCTGAAGAATACAACCTTACCAGTTTCAAAAAAAGAGGTCTCCAGGTGATGGCAGGGAGACCAAAACACCTCTGGAACTATTTTTGGAAGGGGGATATTCCTACAAAAGTGAAATGCTTCACTTGGCTAGTGATAAAGAGAGCTTGTTTAACACAAGAAGTACTTCAGAAGAAGGGTAGACAGCTGGTCCCTAGGTGTTTTTTATGCAATTTGACAAGTGAAACTAACAGCCACCTCTTCTTGCACTGTAATTACACTGCTCAATCTGGAATTTTGTTCCTTAGCATCTCAAATCTGAATTGGACAATGCCAGAACGTACATCAAACGTGTTGAAGAGCTGGGTAAGGAGAGGAGGTACCAAGAGCCAGAAGAGATGGTGGAGGTTAATACCATCATGTATATGGTGGTCAGTTTGGAAGGAAAGGAACAGTAGATGTTTCGACAATAGATCCAATTCCATACACAAGGTCAAATGGAATTGTATAGTATCTCTACTTTTTTGGTGTAAACAGTTGTGTATAGTAGATACAGACCAGATTGTAGATTTGATAGGAAGTTTGTAATTGACACTTTTTGGTGGTGGCCAGCATGCCCTTAATGCTGAAGAATACAACCTTACCAGTTTCAAAAAAAAAAATGAGTTGACCAATTCATCATTTCTTGAATTTCATATTTGTGGAATTTGAATGGTACTTCCGAAAGTTTGGTGCTCATTTCAAATTGCTTTATTTTTCCCCAGTAACATTTAGTACCTTATAGAGTTCTTTTTTGACTTTAATTATGTTTTTTTTTTCACATTCAGAGTGTAGTCTAGTCATTTGTTGTTCCTGCTTCATCTGTTCCTTGAGCATACAAGTAATGGTATGCAATTGTGTTTCAGGGCATGTCAAAGAAGAGACGTTCTCGAAGTGTTTCTGTAGGAATGCAACAAAGCTCTTGAGGTATGGTAAATCTACATGACGATCACTAGAACTTGCTCAGATTTGGGGAAGGCGGTCCAAATAATACTCCGTATTATTTTTCAAAGAGATGTTGTGCAGTTCTTTGAGAACAAGTTCTGCTGGGAATGGCCTCTTTAGAGCATGCAGCTGATGGTATTAAAGTGCAACTTCTGAGGACAAACTGGGGTTAATCCTCTACTGGATAAGAAGATGAAAAAAGGTTATGACTAAGGCGGCACACAATTTTTATCGTTTTTCACGGCTGGTAACAACTTATCACTCTGCTATTTTGTTGATCTCTATCCAGTGTTCAAATGTAAGATCCCTGTCGTATAAACCTCTGTTGTATCTTCCTTCTTTTTGTCGATCATTAGATGGTAAAGCACTGAATCTTAGCTACTTGTACAAAAAGTTGCACATTTTCTTTCTAATAATATATTAGTGGATACTGGATACGTTGTCTGAAGTACTTATTGAGGATATTTCTTACCTATTTATATCAAATAAGAAGCGAAAAAGCTATATATTGTGGTCAGTGAATTGTCAGTAGAACCGAAAGGTCTCGTGTTCAAATCTCAGTGGAGGCACAAGACACTAGGTGTGATTTCTTCCCATCTGTCTGAACTTTGGTGGGCAGAGTTACCATGTACCATCATTGGTTTTGTGATTTAGCACACTACCGTTTACAACATGGAACTTCATCTTGTATTGTAGTTATTTGCTCATGCATCACAAGGGTGAACAAGTACATGCTCAATGCCGACCCTAGGTGTAAACTCATGGTTATGAGAAATTCCGTTGCATCTCCTACTACTGTTTTTATGCTAGTGATGGCTCCTAAATACATGTCTGTTTTATCATTTATATATTTAATGTAATATAAATTCCTCTCGTCTCCAACACCCACCAAAGGACCTTTCTAGCTATATGACTTTCTCTACGTCAATGAACACCAATCTTTTTTTCCCCTTGCTATAAACTCCCATCGATCTCCTTAATAAAATTATAGCATCTGTTGTAAATTTACCGGCATAAATCGAATTTGGTTCTCCGTCACTCTTGTAGTGTCCTTAAATTTACATTCTATCACTCTTTAAATGGACCAGCTACAATCCAAATTAAATAGAGCTTGAGCGAGGTATGCTGGGGACTAATCTTTATATTTGGATTTAAGTCATATTGGATAAAAAATGATCCTTGAAAAGCTAAACTTTTTCCTTGTTCAATAATTTTACAAAATAGGATAATACCTTGACAAATGCCTAGCATGGGTCGATCCCAATTGGTATAGAAGGGTGGCAGCTTAGGGGCGAAAGTCTATCATGGGCCTATCCCAATTTGTGTAATTATGAGGACAGCATCCCAGGGGTTAAAATGCCTAGAAAGTTCCCTAAGACTTCCTCAAGTTCACATGAATTACAGGATCAAACAACATTTAGCACCCTATTCTTAACTAACTTTAGTCTGGAAAAAAAGGTACATGAAATCATGGAATGCTTAAAAAAGTGTGAGTTTCTTCAAGGATATAGATAGAAAAATTATATCTCCACCTTACCTCCTCTCGACGAAGGGAAACCTTTCTTGGAATTCATCATTTTTTGACACAAAACAACCCAGCCTTATTTGGAAACTGAAGTAGGAAACCGTGCAACGCTCTGCTCTTGTCATAATTTTGACCTGTTTCAATCATCCTTTTCTTTACCTTCTTTCTTCTGATCTGAGCTAGTTGCTTCTGAGGAATCGGTATAAAACACCTTATAGCTACGAAGTGGTAGCATTTGGATGTATGACCTTATAAGATCAACATAGAGAGGGAACTGATTAAATGCAAAAAACACCACAGGTATGCATGTTACCCCATATATTGGAATTGCCGCAGTCCTGAATTTATCCCGGAGGACAAAGAAATGTGCAGCACAGAATGAGATCAAAATGGCAGTTATTGATGCAAAAAGCGAAGTTAATCCAAGGAGCAACTTTCTTGGCAAGTCTTTCTCGAAATCATTGTGTCGGCATCGAGATGTGAGGATAGCTAAGAAAAACACTAGGGCCGTGACAGAGAAGCAAAGAGAAACTAGTGATGTTATAGAGAACACGTCGAAAGCAGGCTGATTTTCTAAGTGTGGATGGCCATTATCATCGGCTCCGCCTGGGATTGTGGCAGATGTAGCAAATGCAACAGTAGCAATCAGTGCTGCTACGACAGAGAATGAATTGGCAGTTGTGACGAGCCATTGAGTTCCATCACTGAGTAACTTTGCATGTGTCTCTACGAAGATCTGTCTTGGTGTCTGACCTTTATTGTTATAACGAACATATGATTGTGGTGGCAAAGTGTGCTTCACATACTGCATTATGATAAGAAAATATTTTACACGTTAGTGTATTTAAGTTAATCCCTTGTGATATTAAATTATGGTTGGTTGTTAAAAATCTCTTACCTTGTACCACTTCCTTTCGCCTTGCAACTGTAGAGCACTACCAGGGATGCGCCACACCTCGAGCTTCTGATACATTGCAGCTAGGTGCACTGCATTGTTTCCATGTTTGTCCACATGATAAAACACGTACTCTGGATACTTTTCTCCTATTAACCAATTATAAACATCTGTTTGCCTATGCTCTACAGCTAAAAGCAGGATGTTCTTCTCGTTACAGTCCGTATCTTGAATGGCTATTGGGAACTTTTTGAGGATCCTCTGTACCATCTCTACAGTACCCATCTTTGATGCCACTAATAGCGGTGTCTCCTTGGTCTTGGACATCTCTGTATTTAGAACTATAATTATTCTAGTTGCTTTTAGCGTATACATAGAGCTTCTGATGAAGTTATAACTGGTATAAAAAAGAAGAAAGGTGATTCTGATTTGGAGTAGTAGAATAAATTTTTAGCATGTTGATGTGATAGATCTTGAGTTACTAAAATTGCAGTCTTGATGACCCCGAACAAAGTTTTCCGTGCCACACAAGTATGACCAGAAGAAAAGAGATTCTTTACCGGGCATGAGATCATCTATCTTCTTATCTGTGCTTGAAGTTGGTGGTTGCTCGATCTGTGCAATGTCATCTGTTGGAGGGGGTGCTGTAGGAGGTGCTCCAATTTGACTATAGAGGTACGTATCTTCTGGCTTCTCCCCAGTACTTTCATAGAATTTGTAACGTTCTTCTTTCTCAATCATCAACTTCATAATTTGAACTCCCCATGTATGTTGCCTTTTCCTTTCCTCTAGTTTTTTTGTCCTTTGGAGTCCTGCATGCAACAAGATTTGGATCCTGATGACATAATGTGGAAAGTAAAATATGAAAAAGATAGGACTTGCCTAAATGTCAAACAACAAAAACATAACTTCCCTTAGTTTTCTATTTCAAACAAGAAAAAGAAGAGAGTTTTTAGTCCTTTTCCACTTTCTCTCCATTGATATCTCTCCTATTCTCAACCCGTTCTTACGTTCTAAACAACAATCAAGGGTCAAGAAGTATCAAAATGTAGTCATTAATTCCTAGTTTAATTTCCAAACAAGGGATGAAGCAGAAAATATATCATAACGGGGTTGGAACTACATTCTTCGAAAGAATAACAAGTCTGATTCTTTAGAATTACAATAGCTGCACTCAATAGTCAAGAAATGTATGCATGATAAACTAGAAATGTTTTAAGAATAATTCTTACCAATACCCAATACAATAAGTACAATCTTCATTATACATTTGAGGAACTCGATAAAGATGGTGTAATTGGCTGGAAACAACTTGTGGTTTCTGTTCCTTTCAGCTGGAATTCCAGAGATCAATCGTTAGCAGAAATATGTTGGAGAATCACACACTTTTATCAATTTTCTTCACATAGAAAATGTTTACATAGCTTGGAAAGAAAGGAGCTCTAATGCTCAATGCGTTGATTTTGATGGACAGTCAGTATGGTGATATATTTTGTGTCTTTTTGTTAATATTTTATACAGAGAAACAAATCTTGCAGAGAGTAGAAAGATAATAAGTCTTTTTTGAATCTGCAAAAATCTTAGGTACAAAGTGTCAACACTCTCCTGATGAGATGCTCAAATCATTTGGTTAGTTTTATCTTCGAAAAGAAATTGGTCTAACTGGAAGGTTCCTGCGTAATTACATGCACATCTTCTTGATATTCTAGGTGCTTCCTATGTGGTGAAACATCTGAGACTGTTAACCATCATTTTTACATTGCAAGTACACCCATCATCTGTGGAGAATATTCCTAAGCCTCAAAGGCATCTCCTGGACAATGCCCAGGAAGGTGGCTGAGGCATTACTATGCTGGGAGGAAGCAGGTGTACATGACTAAGGACAGAGGTAGATGGAGAATTATCCCGGGGGCTATCTGGTGGGCTGTTTGGAAAGAAAGGAATTCAAGATGTTTTGAGAGCATAGAGAACAATGTGCAGAAAGTTAAACTAAACTGCATTTTACTTTAGTTATACTCTAATGACACTGTCTCTATAATTGATGTGTTAGACTCAATTTAGACGTAGAGAAGTGAAATCAGGAGTACACTTGTATACAAGGTTACAGTACGACCCGCATGTACTGTTTTGTGATATAATACAAAGTTACAAGTTCAAAAAATATATATATACATGTGTATGCATTCACCTTGAATTGGGGAATTCTCGAGGTCATTTTGATGATAACTTTGATGGCCTTGGTGTGCAGAAAAAGGAAACATAAGTTAGTACTATTAAGAGTTGTCCTCATGAAAAACAAATAAAAAAATAGTATAATATATATATATATATATATAGTTTCTTGCCTCTTTAGAAACCTGTTTAAGTCCACATAACCTGAAAGGTATCACATACCTTGAGACTTATTCTCTTGATTCTCATTAGTTGCTCCTGTAGTAATTGAATAGAAAAGAGAATCAGTCTTTGAGCATGTAAAATTCTTAGGTACTAAGTCCCAACAAGAGTTCCCCGAGGCACTCGAATCGTTTGGTTAGTTCATTTTGTGAAAGAGATTGGTACTATTGATTAACTCAGCATGGATGAGTTAATAAATTAGAATGTTTCTATGTAATCATGTACCTTTGGACTTCTTCCCTTGATTCACATCAGTTCTTTCTGTAGTATCTGGATAGAAAACAGAATCAGTCTCTGAGTATGTAAAATTCTTAGGTACTATGTTCCAACAAGAATTCCCCGAGGCACACAAATCATTTCGTTAGTTCATTTTGTAAAAGAGATTGGTACTATTGATTAACTCAGCATGGATGAGTTAATAAATTAGAATGTTTCTATGTAATCATGTACCTTTGGACTTCTTCCCTTGATTCACATCAGTTCTTTCTGTAGTATCTGGATAGAAAACAGAATCAGTCTCTGAGTATGTAAAATTCTTAGGTACTATGTTCCAACAAGAATTCCCCGAGGCACACAATCATTTCGTTAGTTCATTTTGTAAAAGAGATTGGTACTATTGATTAACTCAGCATGGATGAGTTAATAAACTAGAATGTTTCTATGTAATCACGTACCTTTAGACGGGTCTTCTTGATTCCCACAATATGTTCGCTTAAGATAATCTGGATAGAAAAGAGAAAATCAGTCTTGGTAATGTAAAACTCTTGGGTAGAAAGTGCCAACGACAGTCTCTCAAACAGTCTATTAGTGCATTTTCAACAGGAGATTGGTCTAGTGCTTTCAATAAACCCCGAAATGAAGTGAGCAACTTTCTTGTTTTGATCGGAGTATCTGTTGGCATTTCCTATCTAAAAGTTTTTGTACTAGTATAATGTACTATACAGATTAGATAAGACATTGATCACATGCAGTAAATCTACTCACTTATAGTTTTCAATGTCCCATTCCAAAGTAGTTCCAAGAACTCCACCATTGTTTGGTAGTTCTCTGGGAGATTCCATTCAAGCTTACTATATGAATCTTCTTTGTCTTCAGCTTCATATGTCATTAACTCTAGCTCTTCAATATTTGTGCCTGGAAAAAAAGAACCTAATATTAGCTATATAACCTTCACAAACAATGAACATGAACCATCCTGCAAAAGTTGGATGTTTATGGCTAACAGAAAACAGTAAATGTGTTGAACTGGCACAAAGGATAAAAAGAACACACACTTACAGTAGTAGATGAGGCTATCTATGAACCGAAAATGGCTGCCACTTTTGAATACTTGAGGCATCCTGGAAAGGAAGTGTAGAGGAGACATGCCCTCTACGTTGTAACGGTTGACAAGTTGCCCATAGTAATGTATTATCTGAAAAGCCAGATCTGTTACAAGATAAGTTGTTAATACTACTGTCCCATTCTACCACAGAGAAGAAATTATAAACATATGTAAAGTTGAAATATCTGATAATCAATAGAAAAGACTTTGTAGGGGATTGGCTCTTACCGAAGTACTCGCCAGAGATGGCGGCATGTAGAATGTTATCGCCATCTTCCCTCCTACAAAGTTCAATTGGACCTTCTCCTTTTTCATTTAGACAACAGTTAAGTAGGTAGAGAAAAGCTTGTAGCTTGCCACGATAAGCAGCTACGAATAAGGGGGTTTCCCCTTTTGAATTGGTCTCCCAGATGAGATCACGGTCTGCTGAGTTTACCATACACTCAATAATCGGGACACTCCCGAGTTCTGCTGCAAGGTGAAGAGGTGTGTTCCCTTTATCATTCTTCTGCTTTAAGATACATAGTCGATTTTCCTTTGATATGTCAGCAATCATTTCCTTGATACAAGTAAGATGAGGATGCTGTAAAGAGTCGTCTCGATCTGGATGATAAGAAGTGATAGCTAAGTGAAGAGCAGTATCTTCAGATCGAGTGAGTTTGGATTCATGAACAAACTTGTTTTTGATGTACAGATGCTTAACTTTTGTCCACTTATTCTCCATAGCTGCTTGAAATATTTGATCTTTAATTGCTTGGTTCGCCTTTTCTCTCGATTCATTTGAAGAAGTCCTTCCCATTCCCATTCCCATTCCCATTCCCATTCCTTGTCCTGATAACTGTGGTTGAATTTCTGAGGCCATTTGCACTACTTGTTTCTGCAGATTATGTTGATGCCACTCACCAGTCACCAATGGCTTTAATATATACTGCTAGTAGAGGCATATTGTTGAGAAACAATTCTTTACAAGCCTTTATGCTGGTGCAGGTGTGATGGCTCTTCTAATACCCAAAGTATTTAAGAATCTAATATTTTGTTACTGTGACTTTTTACACTATTATATCACATTAGTTGAGGAAATGTATTGTGTGTCTGACAATCCTCACATCGTGACCTAGCTTCTCGGGTTGAGTTAGAGTTGGTTTACCTAATGTTAGGCTTCTATATTACGTTGTTTTGCGAGGGGGTGAGTGCTGTGTTCCTCATTAGTTGTTATCTCCTTATACGATATTTGATCAATCCTCGCTTCATGAGCTAAGCTTTGGGGTCGAGTTTGACACATGATACATTTTCTCCACACTTTTATGTCATGCAAAACACAAGGGTAACACCTCTTTAGTCATTTGTTCCCTTCTTGCTGCTATCACCAAGCATCTCTTTTTTTTTTGCTTTTTGCCTTTATTTTACACAAGATTTGCCAATACATAGATTATACACCGATTATACGAGGTTATATATATATATATATATTATACATTCGCTGGCTATTTTTCGTGCAATTTTATCTTTTATGTTTGTAAATCTATAACAGTGCAGGGCCAAAATTGGACTTTAGAGTTAAAAAGATGTACATTTTATTTGGTATATTCTTTGCTCAAATGTTATGTTATTCTCTCCTCTTAGTTTTCTTTCTCTATTCCTTACTTTGAAGTAATTCCTCATATAGTAAAATTTTGAACTCTTTGAATGCACTTTTTCGGTTTTTTTTTCCTAATCGTTAGTAAAAAAAAACGAAAGAGTTAAAAAGGTAAAAAACACACCTAAAGTATCTCATTTTTTTGAGTTTCATATCTGAACTATCTGTTGTTTCAGTTTCCTATTTTAACTATCACCAATTTTTTTTATTAAAACACATATCAACTATTGATTGTTCACTTTTTCTACCTGACCTATCATCGAATGTTTATTGATTAGTTGTTTATTTTTTCTACCTGCATAATGGTGTAAAATTTGCATACATTTTACTCTTTTCAAATCGCGGATCTCATGAGAAACATGATGGGTAATATCCAAACAATTTTTCTGAATAATATTTCAGGAAAAAAGTAAAAAATATATTCTATCGTATGTCAATCAATTAAAAATTTGAGATAGCTTAAATCGTAGGTAAAAACTCAAATTCAAGAAAATTAACATTTTTTCATCGAGTATTAAACTTTTGAAGTTAAGAAAATCAACATTTTTTATGAAGTCGTGATTACCACAATGCAAACTTTAAGCAAGCGTTTGATCATAAAATTTAAAAGTGATTTGATTTTATGTTTTGAATTCAAATCGTTTATTTATGAAATCTATCCAAAATTTCAATTTGAAATAAGATTTTCAAGTCCTATGAGGCTATGACCAAACGTTTATTAATTCAATGAGTTTTGATATATACGTGAGATTAATTTGTTTGTCTTTTACTTTTCTATTTAATCCATTTAAAAAGATTATTTTTTAAAGTCGTTTTTTTGTTTCAATTTTTTAAATGACATATTCAAGAATCAAGATTACATAATTAAATAATATTTTGATGTATTCTACGTATTTTTTGTTTTATGTCACAAGATTCAAATTTATTTTTTAATTTTATATACTCCGTAATAAGATTAATTTAGTTAAAATACATTTCTAAAATAAGTTACGTAAAATGAAACAGAGCAAGTACAATAATTTTTTTTGTTTTTTATTTTATTTTCACATAGCATACAATATTATATTATGTTATTTCCTAGTTTACAATTTGACACGGAGTTTAAAAAATTAATATTTTCATCTCTATGCATGTAATGTGTATGGGCATATTAATGCAGCGTAATTCCTTCTCATCTTCATCGTCAAACTGCCGGAAAATCAAATTTTCGTTCCACCACCGCTCCCATGGCCTCCTCTCGGCGGCGCCACCATTTTTTTACCCATGGACGGTGGCTAATACCGGCCATCACCGTCGCCTCCGTCTTTCTTCTCCTTTTCTTTTTCCTCTCGATTCTCGCGCCTTCTCCTAATGGCAATCGTATCTTCCTTCTTACCCGTCGCGATTCTTCGGTACCTCATTCACTCTACATTAATGCTACGATTAAAGTTTCGCGTACATAATATAATAATAACTGGATTCACAATCAAATAGGGGAATTGAACATTCATATGAAAAAATTTCGATACTCAAACAACTGAGCTAATCAGGCTTTTGTTAATCGGGCTTAGATCCGAGCCAATGCACGTTCATTGAAAGTGTCGATACTCAACCAACTGAGCTAATCAGGCTTTTGTTAATCGGGCCTAGATTCAGGCCCTGAGTTAATGCACGTTCATTGCAAGTTTGGATACTCAATCAACTGAGCTAATAGGATTTTGTTAATCAGGCCTAGATCCGGGACATGAGTTAATGCACGTTGATTTCATTTTTGAGATGCATTTGGTTAATTTGAATGTAATTTTGTATTTGTAGGGAGAAAATGATGATGCAATTGAAGATTCTCCGTTACTTGTTCCGGTGAATATCTGCATTTTCTGTATGAAGTTTCTATTTTTTGTTTGGATCTTATATTTCTAAATTTTGTATTGATTGTTCTTTTGTTGTTTAAGGCTAAAGAGAAAGTGAATAATCGGGAAATGTGGAGTTCAAGAAATTCAAACCTCTTTTATGGATGCAGTGATGCTAGTAACAAATTTCGAAGTGAGTTATGTTATATTGATACTGCATTTTCGAAATGTCAATTTACTCTGATTTTCTCTTAATTCGATTCGTTGTCAAATTTGCAGAAGCACAAGATATCACTCATCCTAATCGTTACTTGTCGATTGTAACAAATGGAGGTCTTAACCAACAAAGAACTGGGGTAAGCAAATGTGGTTTGCACTGGCTTTCATTTAAGAAATCTGATTACTGCTGTGATTACTAATTTGTTGGCTTAAACGAGGTACTAATTGCTTGTGGTTGTTGAACACTAGCTAGTAGACGAGAAAGTAATTGTTTTAGTAATCAACGTTTAGTCCAAAACTAATCGAAGATTTACGCCTTATGATGTGCTCCAAACTGGTGGCTGGAGCCTCATAGAAACTTAAGCTATAAATTCCTTGATGTGTAAATATTCCTGTCATTAACTGTTGCATAGTTTAACTTCTGCTGACGTCGAACTAAAATGATTATATGGAATGCAGAATGGTTCTGTATTTAACAGTATAATCTCTTTCACCTCGATGACAGATAACGGATGCTGTTGTTGCTGCTCGAGTTTTGAATGCTACTCTTGTTGTTCCGAAGCTGGACAAGAGTTCTTACTGGAAAGACTCTAGGTGAGTGAGTACGTAGCTGAAAAATGATATTTTGCTTTTTCGTTGCATATTGTTACACTCTGATATCTCAGTGAAGTGAACTACGCCTTTTCCTTGCAGCATCTTCTCTGATATTTTTGATGTTGATTGGTTTATAAAATATCTTGCGAAAGATGTTACAGTTGTAAAGGAACTTCCACTCAGAAAAGGGCAAATCTGGTTACCTTATAGAATGCGAGTTCCTAGAAAGTGCAGTGATCGTTGCTATATACATCGTGTACTGCCTGTACTTAAAAAGAAACATGTGAGTATATCAAGTCCCTTAAATTTCTTCCACCTATTGTATGCATGAGGAAAAAACCATACTTTTCGTCAAATGCATTACCAGAAAATATAAAGTTAAGTCGTGGAGACGGATATGTTTATGCCTTGTATAAGATGTTTGAATGTTGATATTTATAGACCTGTATAGCGTCTGCTTCTCGTAACAGGCTGTACAGATCATGAAGTTTGACTATCGACTTGCAAATAGTCTGGATACAGATTTTCAAAAGCTTAGATGCAGAGTTAATTATCATGCGTTGAAGTTTGTTGACCCTATACTTAGAATGGGTGAGAAATTGGTTCAGCGAATGAGGATGAAGAGCAAGCATTTCATTGCTCTTCACCTAAGGTTCGTCTTCTAGTTGTTTATTTATTATTTTCTCATTTACGATCACATATAGTTAGTATTTGATCCTTGTTAGTGTTATGATCTTCTTCGATCTAGTTTTATTTCACTTTCCCTTGGTCCTGTTTGATTTCGTTATGTTACTTAACCGTTGTTCTCAGACTTCTGCTATTTAATTTGTCTGTTGCCTCTTCAGGAAGTTAAATAGCTTACACAGCCACGATTATAGTAAAAAGGTTCGATTTTGTATGAACAGTTTATCAAACATAAGAATTGTGTCTAGGAATGTAGATAACAAACACCGTATCATTTTGATTACAATGACAATGAAATCCCACCACAAGTGAAGTCTGGGGTGGGTGGGGTGTACGCAGACCTGTATCATTTTGATTATGACATTTTTTTCTTATTCCTTGTTCTATACTCGCATATGGTACAGGTTTGAACCCGATATGCTTGCATTCTCAGGATGTTACTATGGAGGGGGCGATAAGGAGAGGGAGGAACTCGGGAAGATACGAAAGAAGTGGAAAACATTACCTGTAAGTACTTGAGTATCTGCTTTCAATCATATCCTCATAACGAATCATTGTGAACTGTGTGCTTCAAAGATTGGTACTTTTCTTTATGTCTAAAATTTGGTTCTTTTCTTTACGATAGTTTAAATCCCCTGTAGTTAGCCCATCTCTGGTTTGCACACAAGTTTGAAACTCGGGGGTTATGTGCCCGCCCTCTACCTTCCTTCTACTTACCATATATGATGTGTGAACTCTATTTCCGATATACTTTCAGGAGAGTCACCCAGATAAGGCAAGGAGGCATGGAAGATGTCCTATGACTCCTGAAGAAGTCGGCTTGATGCTGAGATCACTTGGATATGGCGAAGATGTTCATATATACGTAGCATCTGGTGAAATATATGGAGGGAACGAGACATTGACTCCGTTAAA